CAATCATATTTTTGACAAATAATATCTATAAAGGCCTAGATAATAATAAAGCAACTCTGTGTATTTTTCTTGACCTGGCCAAGGCATTCGACACAGTCAACCACAAAATCATGTTGGCTGTGTTGGAAGACTTTGGTGTCAGGGGTGTTGTTCTGAAACTAGTAACTTCTTATCTGGAAAAAAGAGAACAATTTGTAAAAATTAATGATACCTTAAGTAATTCGTTACAAATAAAATTTGGGGTACCACAAGGTACAGTTTTAGGTCCACTCCTTTTTTCAATTTACATAAATCGCCTTTTAACATTAAATTCAGAAGGTACCATTTCTTCATTCGCAGATGACACTGTTATCCAATATGAGGCTGAGAATTGGAACCAACTAAAACAGCTGGTTCAAAATGATTTTAAAAAATTAAATACTGGTTTGATGAGATGGGACTAACAATTAATTATAACAAAACAAAATACATAGCATTTTCGTGTAATAAGAGTACAGAACCAGACTTCGACGAAATAGATATTTCAGAGGAAAAAGAGACCTTTATTATTGAAAAAGCAAATCATATCAGGTACCTTGGCATTGAAATTGATAGTCATCTAAAGTGGGATATTCATGTTAAGTCGGTAACTAAAAGGATTAGATCATTGATCTACAAATTTAAACAATTAAAAAGCATACTTCAGTTCCACCAATTGAAAATGGTATACTCTTCTTTAGTCGAAAGTCATTTGCAGTACGGTATATCAGGTTGGGGTGGTATTTATAAAACTCACTTAAATCAGCTTGAAATTGTTCAAAAGTTGATACTTAAAATTATTATAAACAAAAATAGAACTTATGGAAGTGAAAATACATACGAGGAATCGAATGCAATGGACATGAGACAGATCTATGCAAATAAAATCATAAATATTCAACACAAAAAAAGAAATTTATTACAAAAAAATTTACATTCTTATCCAACTCGCCACAAACAAAATAAACAAATTCAGACACATAGAGCCAATAAAAAAATTGGTCAAAGATCTTTCGAATATGTAGCTCCTCGTGTTTATTCGCAGGTTCCAGAAATGTATAGAAATATAAATAGCCATTATAGTTTTAAAAAAAGTGTAAAAAAGTGGTTATTACGAACACTCCGTATTTTAATACATGATATAATAGATCCTCCATAAAAAAAAAAATTTAAAAAAATTATATTTATAAACTAAAATACTAGCCATTTAAAAAAAAAAATTAAAAACGAATTATGATTAAATTATTTGGAAAACTAAAACCAACACTCAACTTAAAAAAAAAAAATGTTACTTACCCTCTGCTCTTTCCCTGTTGTTAGTTATATAAAACGTTATATAATTATTTTCGAAATCTTTATAATCTCTAATTTTCTTTTCTTTCATTGTTTTCTTTTATTTTGAAGATTATAATATATAATTTTCATTTAGTAGGTAGGTCTGAAGAATTTTTTATTTTTTTTTAAATTATAGTAGTTATCAAGTTGTTTAATAGAAATTTAAGTAGGAAATAGAAAACAAAAGCTAATAAATAATGTATATCTCCCACGCACGAGTCATTAGAAGACTTCAGTAGGACTTCAAATATTTATTTAGTTTCACCGAAACAGTTGTAAAAACAGCATTAAATTATGTAATTAAATTATAAAGAATATTGTATAGAGAGAGATAGAGAGAGATAGAGAGAGAGATGGAGAGAGATAGATAGAGATAGAGAAAGATAGAGAGAGATAGAGAGAGAGATAGAGAGAGAGATAGAGAGAGATAGATAGATATAGATAGAGAGAGAGATAGAGAGAGATAGAGAGAGATAGAGAGAGATAGAGAGAGAGAATATATGTTTAAAGTTAAAATACTTATTGACAAACACAATATTGTTATACAAAGCACAAATAAATAAATAAATAAATAGTCATTAAAATATAAACAAACATTATTATAACATAACATTAATACATACATCTAAAATAAAATAGAACGAAACAAAATAAAACAGGTCTCGTCATTATAAAATTCTGTAATATAATAAGGCCTAGTTAACAGAAATCTCCTGAGCAGCTTTCTAAAACTATTCCGTGACTCAACATTTGTTAAAGTATGTTGTACATCTTGATTCTTGATATCGTATAAAAGAGTCTCTTATAAGTTCAGTTTTGGGAATAGGCAACTTCAAGTTACCCGTTTGGCGAGTTACATGAGATATATTTGATTTATATTTCGACTTGGTTTTATGGATCATGCAACAAGTTTCTAAGATAAATAAAGAAGTTAATGGTTAATATTTCTTGTTTTAAGAACAGCGGTCTATTCTTATGTAATGTCTCTCTCTATTCTATTTGTTTCGAGTTGAGTTCATACATAAGAATCCCTATTCTGTTATCTTTTTTAGCTAAAGACTTTTTAATTTTTATTTAAACAAAAATGTATCTACTAACTAATTCCCGCCTCTGTATATTTCGAAGCACCCCCGTATTTACGTTTCCCAAGAATTTCCCTTCTAAACAATTGCGAGCGCCCTCGTAGTTTAAAATACTTTAATATTTCTCGAAATAAGAGTGGGCATTTGTAGACTCAAATCTCATAAAATTATATACTTATTTTTGTCAAGGTGGATAAGGACTTTTTTTCCGTCATTGGTAAACACACCAAAGCTGGAAGTGGCTTTCCTCTACTCCGGAGTGGGAGGCTCTAGACCGATATTATAAATTTGATAGACAATGACCGGAGGCTCTCTTTTGTGTCTGACACCGTTTGCCTCTCTTTTGTTTCTGACACCGTCTGCGTCTCTTTGGTACTTGACACCGTCGCTCTTTGTGCGTTAAAAGTGGTTAAAATCCGTCATTTTATTAAAGGTAGGTGAACTGCTTTGTTTATTTTTTGATTCTCGCCTGTTACTCCGTTTCCGAAATTTTCTTGTGTCGCAGTGCTGACCGGCCCCTGGGGCAGTTTAAAGTTTATCGGGATTATTACGCGCGATTGCATTGTCCAGTGTCCTATTTCTTGGATTTATTGTGGATCCCCCAATATACCCCAAAATTAGGATCCTCGAACAATCCGCCGAACAAGTTTGTAAGTCACAGTTTAACGCGAAATCAACCCTGGCAAGTTTTCCGAATTGAATGGGCCTGAGGCGCTCCCTGACTCATTTAAATTAAGACATTTGCCGGGTAAACCGCTCCACCAGCAGTTTTCACGTGGCTGTCTCATTCTCCGATCTGAAAATATAATTTTAAACGCGGCGATCGAAAATATCCAAAGGATTTATCACAAATTTTAGCTAGCTTTCATTCTTCGAATACAGGGGTTCGCCGAAATGCTCGTTATATTTATTTGAATGGTTTTGCTCGTAGGCCGCCTTTATTTTCTTTATCGCGTAATCATTATTTAATTTAATTCTGCGAATTGAGAAATTCAGTTTTCGAATACAGGAAGCGTCGTAGCTACCCGTTTTTTATTTTTGTGATTTCTTTATTAAATAACCGAATTATTTAAAATAATTACTTCAGGTAATTGTTTTCCGTTATTATCTAGCCAGGACCGTTAGTTTAATCCTGTGAATTGAGAAATTCAGTTTTCAAATACAGGGAGTGCTCCGAACCCTGTACCGATTTATTATTTTTATTAAAAAGATTTTCCGTATTAAGTTTTTAGTTTAATTTATTTTTCACTACATACAGGGTGTGCTCCGAACCCTGTACCGATTTTTATTTTTACTAAGAAGATTTTCTTTATTAAGTTTTTAGTTTAATTTATTTTTCACTACATACAGGGTGTGCTCCGAACCCTGTACCGATTTTTATTTTTTTTTATTAAAAAGATTTTCTTTAATAATATTTTAGTTAAATTTGATTTACCGAGACACCGGTGTGGTGCCTGACTTTTGTTTATAAATTTTCTTTTTGTTATTTGTTAATATACTTTTTTTATTTATTCCGGGTGTTTCTTTCACTGTTTTTCCCCAACCATTTCAGGTACTAGAGAGAGAGGATACTCCCAGGTTATAGTAGCGAACGCCTGGGTTTCTTTTTTTACTCCACTGAGTCTACTTTGAGCATACTCTGGTGTGCTTCAGGGTCGCAGAGCAAACTGCGTGACCAAAACTGGCGCTCGAGCATTAGTTTAACTATTTAAACTTATTCAACGCGTCATACAGGCTCCCGAATTTAGGTAGGTAAACTAGGAGCCTGTCACAACTTTTAAGAACGCTTTTCATTCCTTCGGACTCACTTATAAAAGAGCGCCACGGACACGCGATTAGCCAAAGCGCAGTGGCGTAACCAACAATAGATATTAACACGTATGAAAACAATAAAATTATTAAATTGAATTAATATTTGTGTTATTTATTTTTTTATGAAGTGTAATTGGGTGTTCACTGTACAAATGAACTAATGGAGAAACCGCCCCCGCTCGTAGTATTCAGTCGCTACAGGAAGAGTAATAGCTACTTAAAAATTGGAAACGTACCAATAGGTACTAATTCAGGAAAAAGATGGAATTCCAAGAAGAGGAAGAATAAAAATACAAAAAGGAGAACTTTTAAGACAAGTTTAGCGTGTTTAAGCTTTAGAAATAAATCAAATTGAGGAATATGAAAGGCTTCTGGAAACATTAAGAAAATAAAGAAACAAATATAATGATTAAAAATAAAAAACAGAAGGCATAAAAAAAGATTGCAAATTTTGAACTCAAAACGGTGTCAAGGGTAGGAAGAATAGTCCAATCACCTTGGGTTTTATTTATATATTTTATTATTGTATTTTTATTTATTAGTATATTTATTGTATTATTCTTCTCTTTAATCGAAAAATATGTTAGGAATCATATGGTTGTTACAGTTTTAATTCATTGCAACCCCTGGTTTCGCAGTTTTTTGGTTTTTTGAATAAAATATTCTTTTTGAAATTATATTTATTACTTTTCATCTTTGTTCATTATCAAAAATAGTATATAATACTTGTCTTATATATTTTACATTATAATACTAAGCTCTATTATTGCTTAACAACCTTTCTGATTTTAGTTTCTTTTCATTCTTTTTCGCTACGATATCAGCTAGTTTAGATAAACCAAATGCCATAAAGAGTACAACTATACAGGAAATTGCAATTATACTGATATTCATCGCTGAAATAGTTTTAAAACTGGTCACTACTAATCTATTTTTATGAACATGATCGTAGTCTTCCCAGTTGTTCCAAGTGTTATTCCAATTGATTGGATCGGCCCTGGGATCTCGAGGTTTATTTCGGGCAGGTACCATGTTTTTCCTATAATCCAGAATAAGTTGTTCCAGCTTTCTTACGATGTTCGGTGTAGCGGAAGCAAGATTTACTCTTTCGCAAGGGTCTTCTCTTATGTTAAACAAACACGGAGATTGAAGATTACATTTGTGCTCTTCTAGTTGATCTTCTAAATTAAACGGCCCGCAACTAACTGTGGCTTGCGATCGTAACGTTTCGATATCATTTTTATGAATTATTTTGAGTTCTCTCATCGTTGTCCTGTTTGAGTTCTTGTCTTTAATCTGTTGGTCGGTTATTAGTCCAGCGAAAGCAGTCGCTGTTTTTGAATTTAATACTTGGTTGACGTCGTACGAATATTCCTTTTTTTTGCCGTCATTTCCGAACCACGAATCCCTTTCTTTGCCTGTGGAGCCGTATATATATTTCCAATCACCTTGTCTGATAGCTGCATATGCTCCCCATACTCCTCTTGGACCCCATGGGCCCCAACCAATAGTGGGATCATCGATATTGTAAAGCATTTCTGTTCTTGGGCTCTCCTTGTCTTCGGAAATCGATTCCCACATATCTAGACCATCGATATTTGGAATTTGCGTTTTATTTAAACCTAAAATTAATTGTAATTATTGATTTTATTAACGCTCTTGATTTAATTAAAATATTTTTACTAGCTATGGAGAAGAATGTTGGTAACCAGTCGGAGATATGCATCAAATGATTAGACACTCTTTGGGATTTTTGAATGAGGGGACTCCATATTGCTGCCAAATTTCTGTTACCTCCTTCCCATTCCGTAAATTTCATCTGAAATAAATTTAGAATAATAATTTTTTCTTTCTTACATTTTTTAAACTTTGATTATGTCCAAGAATATGTATGCAATATTCCGGATTCCGATATAACATATAAACAACGTGACAAGCTCTCTTACGGAGATACGAGTTTATAACGGACGCCCTTGCAAAGATATTTTTATAGTTTTTAAAATACTCGGTGTATTTTAATATTTCTTAAAAATGGATACTCCTTGGATCTTTTTAAATATATTTGGCCTATTTAGTTTACCAGAGACTGACTAGATTTAACACCATAATGTACATTTTTTATATACCACGTATGATAAAGGTACAAAAATAACATTTTTAAACCTTAAACTAAAAAAAGGCACTCTTGATCGATATCGATAAAATGAACCGTTTTCGAAAAAAAAAAAAATAGTTTATTATGATCTTTATTAAATCCTGTGTGTTTTTAGTTCTTATTTTGCAACAATGAAAATTAATAATGTTTAATAAGTTTTCTCTAATATTGTTTACTAACGCCCTTCCTCGGTCTTTTTTAATATAACCAATAATGAACATTAAAGGTATAGTAAAAATAATGAAACAAATATGCAATTGATTTCAGATAAAATGCGTACATTGACAAGCAAATATAAAAGTTATGTATCACCAAGTTGCGTCATTTTGTACCATCTTATACCTGCGTCAGCACCGGCAAACTTATAGTACGTCGGAAAACCCGGTCTAGGACGCATAAAAAACCGAGGTACAAATCCAGGAAACCTTTAAGCAAGAGGTTGGTCAGCTTAAAATTAGAGTAGATATTTTAAAGCTAATTTAGAACAGCAGCAAAAGCATTTAAAAACTAATTTAGAAAAACGAGGGAATTTAAAACAACAGGGAAAGGCTAGAGTAGAGTTCAAAAGGCAAATTAGGACTGAACTAGTTGAGTTAGAAAGAAGAATTCGTAGCCTAGTTTCGATAATCAATAGAGAAACTCAAAACACTACCTCGTCCTCATCTGTAATCGAACCAAGCCATATTCAAAACCCAGTTTCACAAATCCCTACTAGCAAGATCATTATGTAACCCACGTTTGACATGGGAAACGTATTGCCGCCAATTTAAAGCTGCAGCTAGAGTCAATGGCTGGGCTGAAAAAGAGATGGTAGCTACATTGATAGTGTCACTACGAGGTCAGGCAGTAACCGTTTTAAAGTTACTTCCCCAAGAAGAACCCAGTTATTCATCTCTAGTCCAAGCTTTGGAGACAAGATATGGCCAGCAGCATTTGAAACGGGTATTTCAAAGCCAGCTAAAGGTTCGCAGTCAAAAACATAAGGCGCCCAAAGATTTTCAAAAAAACAAATCGGCATACAGGCATTTATTGATGGAGTACAAGATCTGGAAATGCAGCAAGCCCTTTATTTACAACATCACAAGACGCTGAGGAAGAAACTGATTGCAGCCCAGGAATATGAAGCGGTAAAACTCATCCAGATCTTCTCACGCAAAAGTGAGAGAAATTAAATCCCAGAAAAGTGAGAAGGCCAATAATAATGCTATTCTCCAACCTACCCTCTCGCAAATCTTAAATATCCTGCCAAATATGCAACGAAATAGCCAAAAGAGAAGGGGATGTTTTAATTGTGGAAAAATCGGGCACCTTCAAAGAACCTGTAGAAGCAGGGCTCGTTCTATTAACCGAGAATCAGGGAATGAGGCTGGAAAGTCACGTAGATCAATCTTCTGAAGCCCGTCGCGAAGTCCAACAAGAAATAGTCACAGCAGCTATGCATCCCAATGAAGCCAATCACTCACATCTAGCCAGCTTTCTAGCTATAACCAGGAAGTATAACATCGAAGAGGCCGTCTCTATAGCAACGCAGACATTATATCCAGGCGACCCTGTTTAGAACTGGAATTCCGATACAGTAAAGGGCTCGGAAAACAAGAGGAACCAGTTGATAAAGTTACTCTTCAAGCAACCTATCAAGCCAGAGAGCGAAGAAGAAGAAGAAATCACCCTTGAAAGCCTTAGAAAGGGATAGAAGAAAGACTTGAAGGTTGTCCGAGAATGGCTCAAAAATAAAGTCGCATTACCGTGGATCAAATCCTCCCCGTTAGCTCCAACCAGGTCCCAGTAATCAAGTTATTCGGGGCGAATAACTAGAGAGGAGGGAGCATTGTTACGCAGCACCCTGTAGCTTAGTTACAGCCGTAACTTGTTTTCAAAGCTTCCTATACAGCGGTCGTGGTTTAAAATTGAATTAAATAAGAAATTCAACGTATACCACATTTGGTGCACGTCGGCTGCTAATAGCAGCCCTTATGTACCACATGTTGGACACAAGGTCGCAAACTACTTCCTAATAACAACGGTTTATCTATGACTATACCTGAACTATTCTTAAATGATATTTTTTTGTAACAGCATAAACAAATTGAGACTATCAAATCAAATATTGCTAGGACCAGGCACCTTTTTCATGGAAAACTGGCTTTCGTCGAATTTTCTGAAACGTTAAGATGCAGAACTCGATGCTTTGACAAAAAGTGTCTATAGGTTCAAACCGATTCTATGAGTAGTTTTCGGAAATGCCACTTTTTTATAACACATTTGTTTTATTCACGTATGTTGTAGAAAACATGAATTACAGATTATTTGACAATAATATTTTATTAAAAGTTACTCTATAAAGTGGTTCATAAATATTTTGCATATAATCAAATTGAATTAGGTAAAAGCATTATTTACTTTAAAAATACAAAGTGACGCTAATATCTATATGTAGACAGACACTAGACCCAGCAAAATCAAATCTATGGGCCTACTTTGTCTGTATCCAAACGAAAACACTCGGCGATGGTTTGATCTCAGTAGATCTTACAACTTTTGCCAAAATTATGCCAAAATTGACCTACCTCTCAAACGGCTATTAATAGCAAATAAAAAAAAACTTACTCAACAATGAGTTGACCCCAAATAGCACCCACAATATTAACAAAGAATATATATACACTTCAACCACTAGAGAAGAATAAAAACGGTATCTGTAGAAAACTTACCTATTTAACCAGAAAAGGCGCCAAATCTAAACCAACTCAGGTTCCTAACGAGCATAGGCGTCAACGGCGGTTATGGTCAAGGTGTTTTACAGAGGGGCCAGCTATCCAATTTAAAAATCCAATACGAGTTTGCTGCGAGGTAATGGCGACAAAACTCATCCGTTAATATTCCACAAATCACAAGCACTAAACCAAATGCCTCACATCAATGGAGAAAACGGGGACTACTCCTCCCTGACGGAGATGGCTCACAAGCCACTAAAAATCTTCCCTTAATCTCAAGGATGCGCAACAACAAAATGAAAAAACGTCCAAACTTAACTAAGCAACACTTATAGTCTAAGATCCGAAGTAAGGTCGACCTTCACCCATCTGTTTAATGGATGAAAGTTTATTTTTATTAAATAAAATATGTTTATAAATATACCGCAAATGGGTTGTCTAGGAAAATACGGTCCAGACTATTTATTTTCTCAAAGTAAAAAAAACGACACCCTGTAAACTATTCCCCAGATGCTTCTACTATGCCCAAACTTTAATCAGCTCACCGCAGGATGGATTAAAGCTTAAGCTTAAAATTTGGTTTTTTTTCTTTATCCGTTTTTAAGTTGTCTTCAAAATTCGAAATTTGCACTTTTTCTCAAATATCTCAAATTAGGTCCATTTTAGGGAAATCATGTATAGGGACAAAATAATAGAGAATGACATCATAAGCAATTTTTATCATGATTCGCATACTTTCCTTATCTGTACACAGAAAGAAAAGTAAAAAATGGCCATGACCGTATTTTCTTAGGCAACCCATTTGCGGTATAATTAAAAACATATATTATTTAATAAAAAACAACTTTCATCCATTAAACAGATGGGTGAAGGTCGGCCTTACTTACGGATCCTGGACTATTAGTTCCCTCGTTCTTTTTTTTTAAACAAACGCCGGCTTCAACCTCTCCATCAATCGAGAGTCCTCGCCGCAGAACGAACGTTCACGACCGATTACCTCTCGATCTAGTCGTCACCTGACCTCAAAAAGTCATTCTGACCAATTAACATATTATCCGCGCTTACAGCCACTACAAACAAACTAAAAGTACCAGAACTCGAATTCGTGAATACCAGAACTATTCACCACCGGCCGAGATAAATCCTCGAAAATCAATAATAACGGAAGGTGTTGTCTCCGTCAAGAAAACCGTATTAAAACAAGTCGATGGATTCATCTATTACCTTCGAAATACGACTCGCACACACTGATAAATCATGTCGAGAATGTCATGATACGGGCGAGTATCAACTCCGGAGTAACACCGTTTCCAGTAAACAAACGAACCCAGCGCTGCAACGAACGCAGTACCATTACCATATGACAAGATCACTAACCTAATTATTTAACTTAACCTAAATATTTCGACGAAAATGTCCAAAACAACAACAAAGATGTTATTTATTAGTTTACTACAACTTACCAAGAACCAAAAGATAATATAAATCTATGGCAATTTAATGAATGCATATTGGAAATTTCTCTAATAACTTGAGTGAATATTTAAAATTCAGGATCTGAAAACGCGATACATGCGAAAAATTGAGAAAATTTCACCTTAAAAGGTATGATGTATATTTAGGTACTAAACAAGTACTGAAATATGGTAATTAATTCAATAATAGCAAAACTGTCATTTTTAGGGACGATTAAATGAATGGAATAAAGGTGACACGAACTCACTGTAAACGAACTGTAATACCCCACAGGGATATAAAGAAACGGGGGAATATAGTAAATAAACACCCTTATTTGGATAAAATTATACATCCAAGGGGCAGGGTTGCCAACCGGTCTTTACCGATTTACTCTCAAAAACTTTTCCGGATTACTCACAATTACTCACAACTTAAAAATATTAATATTACTAGTTTTTTTATATAAATGCTATATTTTGTATTCGTGCACTTTTGATTGAATTTATTTTACTACTGTGCAATGTTGCCAAACATCAAAAGAGCAATTTTTAGAACATACAAGAGTCAAAACTGATGCACCTTTTTTCTGTGCATTCACTATTTTAATAACCAAGTAATGTACAGGTTGATTCATAACTATTGGGACATAGGCACAGGTTATTTGGACAAAAATTTGGCGATAGTACCAAATATACCTTAATAAAATATTGCTGTGGAATAAGATAGAGGGAGTTAAATTTGAATTCTGTTTTTTCGTTTTTTTCTGATGTCACTGTATATTTATGAATTGTTATCAAAATTGGCACAAAGGCATATTTTTTGACAAGGAATATTATTTTATGTATTATTTCACATTTTGGTACAGGAGGCGCCACGTGAATTATTCCTGATGATGAAATTAAGTGGTAGCTTTTTTTACGAAACTTTTTAGTATTTTTGATTAGAACATTTCACCCGTTTTCGAGAAAAATGCAATTGAACAACTCCCAAAATATTTCATTTATGAAAAGTTGCTTTGAAGTGTCAAATAATTATTACTATTATTATTTAACGCCCTGTATCTTATTCCACAGCAATATTGTATTAAGGTATATTTGGCCCTATCGCCATATTTTGGTACAATGGTACAAATAACCTGCCCTTAGCCTATGTCCCAATAGTTATGAATCACCCTGTATATAAAACTTCTTTGTAATCAGCTGAACAAAAAACAAAGATAAAAAGGTTTGGAGAATTAGAGTATATTGTTTATTAACGGGCCAAATCATAATAAATAATTAATTCTAATACTAAAAAAAAAAATCTATTAATAAAAAATATACTTTTAAAATGAACAAAAAAAGATATTAATCAACGATTGGGACAGTCCCAATGGGACTATGACTATCGACACGACACCTACTGTTGTAAAATATCAAAATCACTTTTACTCTATTACATTGACCAAGCAATAGAGGACGCTGCAATTTTAAAACTACAAAATTGTAATGACTGCTAAAAGTGCGAGGGTGGTAAAATTAGGCTTATTTTAAAATTTTTAAAAAGAACACGGTTTTAATAAATTATCCGATCAGGATTTTGCCTAACACCATGAATATACCCATGCTGACTTCCCGATTACTCACATATTACTCACAATTGCCCTTTACTCACAAAATTACTCACAGACTAGTAAATTACTCACAAATGTGAGGAATTACTCACAGATTGGCAACCCTTGGCAAGGGGTCATCAAAAAGTATTTGTCTTAATATAAAAACTGGATCGTTACAAACCCTGTAATTAACCAAATTCTATAGTAACTTAGAACCGCTGTTAGTAGTAAATAATGCAGAATCTAAGAGATAAGTAGCCGGAGAGGCTAGCCGCGAGCTTAATGTGCATCCACTCACTCGCAACAGTTAAGCAGTGATCTCTCCGGTCACGTCGTGGATGGGTGACCGCTGGGAGGTTCCACCATGGGCCGTGTCACCATGGGCCGTGTCACCATGGGATTCATCCGACTAGCGTTTAACCATCGACGACGTGGAATGAATGAGAATGATTGAGGGTGTGAATGGGAAAGTAGTAGGACTTTCAAATGGTGGTACAATAAGCCGCAGGCTGCAGTGCTGCCAGACTACAGACGGGTTAGGGTGTAGCACGGGAGGTCTGAAGGGTGTAAAACAAAAAAAAAGATAAGTAGATAATTGTTATATAAATTTTATACCTATAATAGAAGAACTCACCCCTCTGAAAGGATAATTTGAACCATCTTCTGCGGCTCCATTGTCCGACAAAAAGAGAATCACCGAATTTTCCAGCATGTGCTTTTCTCGTAGAGCTGCTATCACTATTCCAACGCTTTTATCCAACATGGATACCATGGCTACAAAAAAAAATATTATTTAATTAAGAGATATGAAACAATAGGAGAAATTTTAAAATTATAAATATATCTAAGCTTTAGTAAATATAAGAAACGAGTTAAGACTAATTTCATACAGGAATTAAAACTAGTAAGCGACTTCAATTCAATATCAAAATACATCTTTGTGCATTTAGACCAGTAGTTCCCAAAGTGCTCCAGGTGGACCCCCAGGGGTCCACGGGAGACTCGAGGGGGTCTATGTTAGGCGTAATAAAAAATGGAGGTCCACAATCGTAAGCGGGGGTGCATGAAAATTAATTGGGTTTTGATAGTGATGAAGAAATTCTTGTAAAAAACTTCCAACTGTTTATAATATAAACAGTCAACATTTTAGTTACTAAAATGTTGACTTGACTTTTCTTATCAATATAGGGAGATAATATTTTAAGAAGCTTAGTGACTGTTACTTATAAAAACTTGTATATTCCATATTCAGTACAACGAGTCGAGACTTGTCGTTGCCGCGCCGACCGCCATCCCGTCCGCAACGCTTGTTCAGACGTGCAAATTAATACGACTTGTGGTGTATGTGCTTGCAATCTTGCATGAACGTGCTTGATTCTTCACCAATATAAATACGAATAATACGAATGTCAAGGATAATCGTTACTCATTTGTTTCTGGAATTTCATAGACAAGTGAATCGATATTAGTGTTGGCCATTGACTGAATTTGTTTCCAGACTTTTAAAAAGAAAAGTAAAGTGAATCGATATTAATTTGAGCTATTCCTAGATATTTTTATATTTCGTTTGGTTGTATAGGATTTATTCCTTGGATGTTATTTTTCTCTTCTATTATTTTTCCTCTGCAAATTGTTATATATGCACATTTGTCCAGTCCAAATGACATACCAATATCACTACTGTAGTTCTCTGTACTACGTATCATTTCGGTTAGTTGTTTTTTGGATTTGACATATAATTTTATATCATCCACGAACATGAGGTGATTTAATTGATACTTTTCCCTAGTATCAATCTCATAGCCCAATCCAGTGCGATTAAGTAGAGTTGAGAGGGGGTTTAGTGCCATAATGGGCTTAATGAATATCCCTGGAAAATACGTTGAGAAATTTTTATTTCTTCTAAGATCCCTCCATTACAATGCAGTTTTACTTTCCACGTCTTCATCAAACTTGACAATAGTGAGCATATTGTTGGGTGGATTTTGTACAACTTTAGAATTTCTTTTATGTTATGTGGAACGGAATCAAAGGCTTTGGTATAGTCTATATATGCCATATTTAGATTTTTCTTTTTGTTATGAGCTTGTTTGGTAACGACAGAATCAATAGTAAGCTGTTCCTTACAGCCTAAGCTCCTTCTGATACAACCTTTCTGTTCAATTGCTATAAAGTTATTTTGTTCACAGTGTTCATAGATTCTGTATATTACTGAGAGACAAGTAATTGGTCGATAGTTGCAGGGTTCATTGGTATCACCTTTCTTATAAAGAAAGAAAGTATTTCCAACACCCAGGAATTCAGGAAGTTCTTCCAAGTTTCCAATCATTTGGTTAAAAGAATTTGCTAATACGTCATGTAGTGGTGTAAATTTTTTTAACCAAAAGTTCTGAATTTTGTCAGGGCCTGCAGCTTTCCAGTTAGCGGTTTTTCTAATTGATTTATTTATTTCATCAGGTGTTAACATTACATCTCTCATATCTCTATTAATTTCTATATTTTGTCTAACTTCTTCAAGCCATTCGGTATCCAACTTTGCATTTGTTGTTTTATTTATTTATTTATTTATTTATTTACGGGTTCACCCCCATTACAAAAATATACAATATATAAAAGTGTCTATTACAAAAAGAAAATATAAATTAAACAAAATAAAAAATATAAATATACCATAAAATATGTATATGTTACGTACCAAGCTGGAAATTGTACAATTCGCGTACCGTACAGTGATTTTTGTACCGAGCGCGAAGTGTATAGACTACTTTGTACGAAGTGCGATTTACCGGACTTGATATTACAAGTTTTGTACTGTTCGGGTTCTGTACAAATTATATGTACCGAGCTGTTAATTTCAATCTTCCAGCCAATTTGGTACAGCAGTTATTGTACAAAGCACGAATGAGGAGTCGTCTGACTATCTGAAGGCATTTTATTATTACTATTAATATTATTATTAAGCCCCGTAACGACAGAACATGCAGAAAAACTAAAATTGAAAAAACAATAAAAGAAAAATAGATAGTTTTTTTATTTTATTTAAAGTAAACATAATTTAGCTGCACATATATCATTTATTTATTGGTACAGCCCATTGAATTATGGCAGCGAGTATTACACAAAACTCCTTTTTTCCTGCATACACATCTCTTATTCAAACATTTTCTAGTGCATGCGCATCGCACAAATCCTTGCCCACCAACTATTGATGCCTGTGAATTTGCAGCTCGTAAAGATACTGATGCATCTTCCACTTCTTCGATTTCCAAAAAAGTAGTACTGCATTTTGTTGTTGTTCCTACCGTCAAAACATCATATCGTCTTAATCGTCTATAGTCCAGAGACGTTTTCTTTTCTTTATTTTTTGCTTCCATCACTTCGTTTATTAGCTGTCCATAATTTTCTTCACTTGTAATTGACACTGAATTATCCTTAAACATCAGTTCACTTAATTTTTTTTCAAAAATTTCTTTGAATATACACACACACTTTGCGATCGGTACAAAAATCACTGTACGGTGCGCGAATTGTACAATTTCCGGCTTGGTACGTAACATATACAAGTTTAAAAACTAAATTTGCGAGAGTATCAATCAAATTAAGCTCTCTTTACACGTTTTTTGAATGTACAAAGTGATATACCAAATATGTCTATATCCCTATTGTTAAGCATTCTCAGAGTACGTTCAACTGAAGAATGCATACCATAATTTGTGCAATGAAATGGAATGTGAAACAGTTCAGAGTAAGTATCGGAGATTTCTAGTTGGCACATATAAGCGTATACTCTCAAGAAGCTCAGGACAACTTACTAAACCATTGAGAATCTTAAAAACAAATATCAAATCATAATCTTCCCGCTTTTTGCTTAGTAGGTCAATATTCAGTAATTTCATAATATCTGTGTAGTTATGATTACTAATTTGTATATATGATATGTATGCACAGTACCTCAGAAATTCGTTCTGAACTCTTCCAGGCTCGTACAATGGTTCTGATGATGTGGAGACCATACAATAGATGCATATTCTAACTGTGATACCACTAGAGCAAAATATACTGTTCGTACGGTCCAAACAGAAAATCCATGACAGTTGCGTAAAATAAATCCCAGGGACTTTGAAGCGTTCACTGTAACATTATTTATATGTCGTACAAAACGTAATTGTTCATCGAGTATGACTCTTAAATCCTTCACAAAGGTTACATATGTCAACTGATCGCCATTAATTGAGTAGAACGTTTAATTTTTTATTACCTTTATAAAAACTTATATGACAACATTTATTAGCATTTAACATTTAAATGCAAATTGTTATCATTACACGAAGTACTTAAATTATTTAAATCGTCCTGGATTAAACTAATATCCTCTAACGGGTGTCCCCTCCAAAATGTAACAACCGGCATGCCTTAAGACCATTTGTAACTACTGATAGGTCTTTAGCTATTGTTGTTAATATACTATTAAGGGATTAGGGCAGCGTTGTCACCAGCCAAAGGGTCCTGGAGTCCTGAAGAAACATCCATTCGCCAGTGACAAAAGAAAATAATAAAGAAAAAATAATAAAATACAAAAAAAAACATCCCTTAATAGCATATGTCGAGCGGTTCTTGGCAACTAGTTTTAGACTCTTTTAGTCCTAAGGGAATAGAAACGCCGAGGCTTCTCAAATGCTCGGAGTATTTTGCTGGTTTGGGAAGGGAGGAGAGATTAATAATAAGTATTTTAAAACATTAACAAATGTATATTAACAATAAATATAAAACTTGACAAATAGTCTTCAGAAAAAATGAATAAAATTCCATTTAGGGAATAATGCACTATAACTAACAGTAATAAAGATATGCATAAAATATAATTCGGGACGAAAATATAAAATTGGCATTTATATGTAAATCAATTAATCAATTATTATTAAACAAAATTACTGTAAAATTAAGTTAAAATATTTACCCATAAGTCACATCGTACACAAAAACTATACTCTACACTTTACTTTACAATACAAAACCAGGGTTTCGCCCAAGGGGCGAAAGTTCTGGACCTTAGTCAGAACCCGACTGAGCGTTTACCCCCAAGTGATCCTTTCTATATAAACCAAAATTTATGTGACTGTTTTTTTGTATTTAACAATGTCACGTTCAATGTAGATTAATAAATTGAAGGTTTGTTTCATTGTCATACTTGTCTTTTTAATTATTTAATTTAAACATTAAATACTTGTTTAGAATTTTTGGTAAATTCTTTAGATTTTTTCAATTAATAATAATAATAATAATGCCAATTATTACAGTTATATGCCTGAAAAGCTTTAAATCATCGGTAAACATTAAAAAGTCACAGTTTTGGAAACAATATAGTTAACAAATATATTAAACAATAAAGATGAGCAATGAGTGCCCTGTGGTACACAAGAAGATACATAGATTGTATTTGATTTAAAACATCCTATTCTTTCCTGTTGCATGCGAACAGTTAAAAAACTCTTGAACCAATGTAAAGATTGATCCGAAAAATCAAACATTTTTATTTTTTTCAATAGAATGTTATGATCTACTCTATCGAATGCTTTGGAGAAATCCGTATAAATCGCTTCCATCTGCCATTTCATTTCCAAGACATTTAGTATTTTTTGTTGGAAGACCACTAAATTTGTAATAGTTGATTTATTCTGTGAAAAGCCATCTTGATTAAACGTTCTTTGCAGTAAAATTTTAACTGGTTACATATTAGATTATCGAAAAGTTTTGGCAAAGAAGATTAATTGCATACACTACGATAGTTTGTTATATCTTGTTTATTTCCTGATTTATATATATGACGAATATAAGACTGCTTCCAAAACGTAGGAAATAATCCAGAATCCAGCGATGATTTAAAAAGAATATATGTTGGATGTGTCAGGAATCCCATCCGGGCCGTTGCTCATTTTATTGGATAAAGCCATGATTTCATTAAAAATATCTTCAACAGAGATAAAAAAATTAGGCATGGTAAAATTATTATTATTTCCAAATGCACTGAGGTCAGTGAATGGCAATTCAGGTGAATAAACCGTGGAAAAGAATTGAGCGAAACAATTTACAATGTGTTCTCCATCTGCTGCTATAATATCTCCATAATACATTGTATCTGGTACTTCACAGGACGAACGTTTACTGTTTACATGTTTCCAGAAATATTTTGGATTGCTGTGTAAACTACGGTCTACCTGATTAATATAATTGTTAGAGCACATTTTTGCATGATCTTCTAAGATCTGAAAAGACTTGATAATCCTGCAGAGTAAGAGTATTTAGATATTGTTTATGTGCAACTTTCTTCTGCTGAACTAGAGATCGTAACTCTGCATTAAACCATTTGAATAGCTGGATGTTTTAAATTTTTTCACCGGCACAAAGATACTACCAAAGCTTTTTTTGTCAATGGTGTCGTTTTGTGGATCCAGGTTAGCTGTTAGTGATCGAAAAAACTTTTGAGAGTTTTGTTGGAATTGGCGATTCTGGAGTTTTCGCTTAGTCATTTTATTATATCTTCGTAATCTAGCACCCTTCATTTTATACCTTTGGCGTAAATTATCTTTTGGCAGAATTGTTTATCATAACTGTCATTATTATTATTATTAATATTATTATTTTTTTTTTTTTTTTTTTTTTTTTTTTTTTTTTTGTGTCATCGGCTTCAACTGCTAAGGTTATTTCGCCTCGTGTTCTGTGTAGGCTTTGTTACTGTTTCCCAGCGCCACTTTAGGAACAGCACTGTTAATTAGAACCCAACAGTGAATGGTCGAGTGGGGAATCCTACCAAGGCATCAGAATTAATTTTAAATAATTAAATTAAATGAAAAAATCCCGGCCAACGGTGGGATTCGAACCTGAGACCTTCCGATCTCAAAGTCATGACTCTAACCACTGAGCCAACCCACCCCCCTATTATTATTATTATTATTATTATTATTATTATTATTATTATTATTATTATTATTATTATTATTATTATTATTATTACAAGCTTACCTGCATAGATTCGTCGTCTTGGGTCTTTAATACGAGTGAATTTGGCAATTTCTTCATCAGGCGCTTGTAGTTGTTCATATTCGTTTCCAGTATGCGGTGCAATTTGAGCCAAAAACAAAAACATCGGATTATTAGTGTCATGTTCACGTATTAATTTCACAGCTTCATTGGTAAATAACGTCGTACTGTACGTGCCTTTAGCGCCGTAGTCGACCTCAAGATTTCTTCTGAAGTCGTAACCAATTTCGGATGACCACTGAAATTAGGTATAGGAATTTTTAAAGTCTCCTTGGAATTTTTTCAAAACTGTCAAAATTAACTGTAATTAGGACTCCATTTAAAACCACAACATCCTAATTTAGAACGTATTATTCAGAATTTAATGTTCTGGATACAGGGATGTGAGAAGGGATATATGGGTGATTCTCGCCTAACTGTAATTTTTTATGTCCAGTGTTTTATTTATCGTTTAGCATAAGTTTTCATCATCAAAACGTTAATAATATTATAAATTTAGAGGTATTTTACAACCGACATTATGAATTAGATCATAAACCTTCGTAATTTTTTTTAAACTGCATATAAATATACTCGAAATGTCAGTACCGTGGCATGTCCGATTCTCATTCTTAAAACTAAATATATAAATTTCTATCAAAATTCATTTTTTAATATAAAATTTACCTCTTATAACTACAATCTAATGCATACTGCATTGAATTTTATTGCAATTTTATACCAATCTTTGGATTGGTAAAAAAAAAATAATCATTTATATGTCAGTACCGTGGAAATAATGTCAGTACCGTGGCATTAAAAATTTTTAAATTTTGTCACAGTTTTCGTTGTGTCGTAGCTGTAGTAGAACCACTTTACAGGCTTATTTCTATGCATAAATAGAAAACAAAAACGCGTAAAACATACGTTTTGAAACATTTTTAATTTTAGAAAAATATAAGTTGTAAAAATCACAGTTAGGCGAGAATTACCCATATACGTGATATAAGTAATACTTAGGGCGGTGAAAATGAGAGACGATGATACCACATAAAATAACTCATACCATTTTCGCCAATATGTATCAAAATTATAACATTTTTATATACACTGTGGAACAGCCAAATGGTATAAATTCGGTAATAAATAAATGCAGCCGTTTTCTTGAGAAAAAATAACTACAGATCAAGATTAATTAATAAAATGTTTTATGAAATTTGGTGTAAACAAAATCCCGATGCATTCTATTTAAGAATATTTAGTAGGCCTCTAATGGTGTATGTACCAAAGTAACAAAGATTAAAATGGGATAAGGAAGCTAAATTACATATTTTAGTAGGATATGGAGATAATAATAAAGGCCACAGAGATGATCCCACTTCTACAAAAAAACTATTAAAAATGTAGTAAATAAGGTAGATATAAAAAATAAAAATATAGTGGGACAATCTGAAACCTACCTAGAAGTTTAAGAGCAAACACGTAAAATAGAAAATCTAGAAATACGCTTAGAGAGGGACTATATACCAGATCAAGAAGAGATAAAATCCGAAGTATTAAGAAAATCAGAGAGATATATTTGCTCAGACAGCACTGATTTGGACCAAGACCCAATTACTGTTGAAAATGCGTTATCAAGAGCACATGAAGAAAAATGCCAGCAAGCAATAGGGGAGAAACTATAATTCATTAAAGCCAATAAAGCCTGGAAAATTGTGGCTGTTTCAGATAGTGGCTTTTCCAGATAGTGGCAAAATAGTTCAGTGTAAGTGGTTCTGAAAACAAATTGCGGTATAGAGCAAGAATAGTGGCTTGCGCCATTGATTATAATGTCATTTTTACTCCTGTTGTCAAGCAAGATTACTAATGGCATTAATTTAATTTAAAAATTGCTGTAATCTTTTTGAACCTTTTTTTAAATGAAAATGTATATGCAGGCCTCGGGCGTAAAATATGTTAAGTGACAAAGTGGAGAATTTTTGTTTATAGCTTGTAAAATATGTTAAGTACACATCTATTTTATGGAACAATTCAAATTTCCTGCCAAGCGGCTTATTTGTGTTATACCGCTATCTAGCAAAACGTGTTAAATGGAATTTATCATGACAGTTGCAAGTAAAACTTGGTGGTAAGTGTCAAACAACATGGTGACAGTACTTAACATGTGTGCATAATATTCTTAAAAATAGTGAAAAGATGGATGCCAAAATGAACGAAAATATTGATCTAAGTGAATTTGATGACAGTGAATTTGATTATCAAAATTCAAGCTCGTCATCGGAAAACCAAGAAAATTTAGAGGTTAGTAAAATTAATTTTTACAACATTTTTCAAGTAAAACATGTTAAGTGAAGTAGATAACATTATTTACCTGCATTTTGAATTTTTGTGTAAATTATGTTATGTGACACATCACTTAACATGTTTTATTTGAATTCGTTAGTTTGTATACTTAACATTAACAGCAAAACTATAAATTTTTGTTCATTGTTATGTTAATTAATATATTTATTCAGGAAGTTTTGTTATTTTCAGAATAATGAGCAGAAAAAGAAAGGCAAAAAACGTACCAGACATGGATCAAGACAATAAATTAACAAGATATTGAAATACAGTGGAAAACGATACAAAACTTACAGGGGCCGTGGACGAGATGTTGAAGAGAAACAAATTGGTGATCCTTGCAAATGCAAAAAAAATGTTTTGAAAACGTAAGTCAAGATGAAAATGAAGTTATGTTTTCAAAATTTTTAAGATTAAAAGAATACGACATACAAAACGATCTAAACCCAGAAGACCAACTTACTAATAAAAAAATAAGAGGTTATTTAAACACTGCAAAGCAAAACGGAAAGAAAGCCACGCTGAGGAACAATTATCTGTTAATCGATGACAACAAATACTCAGCTGATCATATTGCGGCCAATCCGGAAGTTTTGAATAAACCCGCTTCTTTAAAGGAGATAGTTGAAGAAAATCCAAAAAGAGTAACCAGAGGAACTAAACTACTTGGTTAATAATATTTTTGTAATTTCTAAATATAAAACTTTTATAATATTTTCTTGGATTTATGTACATTTAAATTGTTTCAATTCACAATCTATTGTTTATCTAATTAACCTTTTTATTTTCCTTCTTTTACTGTTTTTTTTTGTGTATTTAATTTTATAGATATTTTTTGCCTATATTATGAAACGAAGTATTAGCTTTTCGCATTTAAATGTAGGATCTATCTTCCCCGTTTACGGTCGCTTGGTTGAGTACTTGAATAAAAGTAAAATTGACATTTTCGGCATAAGCGAAACATGGTTAAATCCCGAAATGGATTCTAGTAATATATTTATCAATTCATATCGACTGGTTAGGACAGATAGAGATGGTAGGGGTGGAGGTGTTGCTTTCTACATAAATACTAACATTCAATATAAACTAATTTTTTCTCAAATTACAGTTAATCTTGAGCAAATATGGATATCCACCAAGTGTAGTGGAAAAACTTACATTCTTGGTGTCGTTTATCGCCCACCCGCTTCATCAGTTAGTAATTTTATTAGTAAATTGGAAGACACCGTTGCAAATTTACTTCCTGAGAGTGATTTCTTGCTCGTATCGGGTGATATAAACATAGATTTCCTTACACAAAATCGGAGTTGTGAATTATGTATAAATTTTTTAAACACTTTCGGGCTGGAGCAAATAATTAATGAGCCAACTCATTTTACCCCACATAGTAAAACACTCATTGACATCATCTTTGTGTCTGATACTCAAGATATTTCATCGGTCAAGGTACTTGATATACGAAACCGTGGGATCTCGTACCATCACGCAGTTTCTTGTAATATTGACTCATACAAAATTCACAATAAAATGAAATATATAACATATCGTGATTTTTCAAAATTTGACTTAGATCACTTTAATTTTGATTTGCTAAATATTAACTGGAATAGTATTTTTCCCTTGATAATGTCGATGAAATGATTACATTTTTAAACCATTCCCTTAATGAAATTTTCTGCGACCACGCTCCAAGAGTTACTAAAGGAGTAAGTAAACCTCAGGCTCACATACAATATTAAAAAAATGATCAGCCTGAGAGATTCTGCATTAAGCAGATATAAAAAAGAAAAAACTGTGAGTAGCTGGAACTATTATACCCAGTTGAGAAATTACGCAACTGGAGCTATTCGGCGAGAAAAAAAAGCCTACCTTGATTTCATACTTAAACATAAAAATTCAAAAAGTACTTGGAATACCCTCCGATCCCTTGGAATTCTCAGAAAAAAATCGAATCCAGATATTCCTCCTAATTTAAAACAAGTCGATGACATAAATTTACACTTTAATAGTTTGCCTAATATTGATAAAACTCCTAATCAATTACGTCTATTAGATTGCTACACACAGCAAAAATTTAATTCACAATTTAATTTCAAAAATGTTACTGCTGAATCAGTAAGAAAATCCCTTCATCACATAAAAAGTAACGCTGTCGGTCTTGATGACTTTTTTTGCGCATGCTACATTTAGTCGAAGATCATTTACTAAATTAATTAACCTTTATTTTTAATAAGATAATCTCAACATCAAAATATCCTAATGCATGGAAACACGCTATAATACTCCCACTAGCCAAATGTACTGAACCGTCAAACCTTTCTGATCTCCGACCAATTAGTATTTTACCTATCCTTTCCAAATGCTAAATGTCTTAAATGGGTTCCACCTGTTTATCACGCCTATTACTATAGCATCAATACTGCAGCAAATAATTATAAATTGTTTCTAATTTTATTGCTTTGGGTAAAAAATATTGTATTTCATATAAAAAACTTTGAGTTCACATTATTTTTCGTACCACCTCAAATTCTGTTAAATACTATTTGTCTTACATAAAGTTAATGTAAAATATGTTATGTAACAATTTTTTGATTTCTTTTTCAATTTGTATGAGTTAAAAAAATTTATTTTGGTAATAAAGGCATATAACCAAACTAGACAAGTTATTTGAGTCGGCCAGTGCAATAAAAGGCTTGAATAATATAACCCCGATTTTATAATTATAAAACAATTAAAAATGCTTGTAAAGTTGATTGGCAGACCTGATATTGTTTATAAGTGAGTTTTTTAAATCAATAATTGTCATTCCAAAGAATATTGGAATTGTTTAAAAATATATATAGAAGCAACAAATAATTATGGTTTGAAATTTATAAATGAAAAATGCAGAGCTAGTGGGTTTTATTGATGATGACTGGGAAGGATAGTGGTGGACTGTAAAAGATATACAGGTTATTGTATTCTGAAATTTCTTAAGAGTTCAAAAAACAAAATACTGTGACATTAAGTAGCACAGAGGCTAAATATATTATATGACACTTACTGAGGCTTCAAAAGATGCACTTTATTTTTAAAATGTATTGTTTGATTGAACAGGTAATTTATGTTGTATCACTTTATATAATGATACCCAGAGTGCTCAAAAATTGGCCTCAAATCCGGTGTTGCATAAGAAAACAAATCACATTGATGTGCGACATCAGTTTATAAGGGAGGTTAGTTAAAATGAGTTTATAGAAATTCAAACTCTAATAATATACCTGCAGATTTGTTAACAAAAAGTTTATGTTTAGTCAAAAATTGTAAATTTATAAACGTTTTATGAATTATAAATTTGTAACACCTTAGTACTAATAAGCCCATTGTGAATCCTGGCAGGGCAAATAGAACGGATGGATGGATAGATTTATTATATCCACAGGTCAATGTGAAAAATTTTAATTTGACAGACTATTGTAAATGCCCTAAAATAGTGGAAACGAATTTGACAAATTTCATACAATTTTTAAATTAAAAGTGATTATAATTAAGTTAAGCAATGCTCACCGCTGCTTGGTTCATGTGTGTGTAGTAATCGTGGTACCCTTGCCAATATCCATAATGTGTGTCGAACCCTCTAAAAGTTGGTGTATATTCTTTTTTGAAATGACCCAAGTTCCACTTTCCAACAGCATGCGTAGTGTATCCGTTCTGTTTTAAAAGTTGCGGCAATAGAATTTCATTTAGAGGAAGTCCCCAAGGCTCCATCTCAAGTATGACTAAATGTTGCATACCTGTAACAAAAGCAAAGTTCATTCGTGCTTTTTTCTTATACCCAACACTAAACCTATTCTTCATAAAGTCGAGGATTATAAAGCCGAAAAAGACACCGACGTTGACTACAGATCAAGTAAAAGAATTTTTACTAGTCTTGGTTAGGATACCAAAACAGTATTGAGTCTAGTCTTGGTCCCTACAAAAAAAATGGAATCCAAACTTATTAGTACAGTTTTTTTAAGACGATATAAAAATAAATATTGCACTTGGCTAAATTAATTCAAGAAACTAAATTGTTGTGTCTATGTTAGGTATGTACCTATATCATGAAGACTTAATTAAATATTTACCTGGGATAGAAACTGAACTATGTCGCAATATTTATAGAAGTATGTTGGAGATATATGACACTATATCATAGAAAAATTGTTATTAGAACATAAAAATCTCTATATAAATATGTTACCAAAACTAACAAGTCATGTTTATTAAAAAAAGTTTTAATAGTTAGATTATTAGTAAACAATACATATTGTCAATACATGGACCATTTGTAGATATTATTACATTGCTTACTTATATTTTAATTACTTTCTTACCATTACTAGTGATATGATATTTTAATTCAAAATTAGAAGTATTACATGTTGTGGTTTTCAAATTTATAATTTGATAATCAACGTTTGATGAGTAAGGTCGGTCCTGGAAAAATTAATTTTTAAGAAAGAAATCAGGATGCCGACTATGAATTGTCAGAGAGAGAATGAAGGGATTGTCAAAAAAAAAATTTTTAAGAAATTGTCACATCAAAATTTGGAAAGTTGGGATTGTATATTAAAATGGATTATTGAATAAAAAAAATATAAGAATGGAATATGTATAGGATATTGTCAGTTGAAACATAAATAAAACAATTTAAAAAGGAAAGTAAGGTACATTTTTGTTATTAAAAGCAGTAAAGGAGAAAGAGTCAGGTAGAGCACCAGGACAGAAACAGATTTAGAGGGTACAGAGGAAAAAGCAAAATAAGCAGTGAGGTGCAAATAGGGTACAAGGGGAAAAAGGAAATTAAACAGTGAGGCGTAAATAGTAGGAAGTCGACGAATACAAGAATAAGAAGCAAAAGAAAGAAACCTTTAGTATAGTTACTGAATTAATATTTTAATTTTTTTAGTTTCAAAATTATTGTATGTAAATTCACCAAACGTTGAGGGAATTTTCGAGTAGATCAATTAAACTTGGAGGTAAGAATTTTCCTACTAACTAAAGTCCAAATCATTACATTTGTGTTGAACCTACGGACCCTGAGAGTAAGCAGTAAGAGTTAAGTTATCGGGTGAGTTAAAAATTTTTTTTAGTACATTACAAAATTGATTTGTCATAACAAAATTTTTTATATTTCATCAAAATTATATACATAATTTATAACTAAACAAAATAATTTTCATATCATTAGTTATATAAATTTTTGCTTAGTGCTACTGCTACTACCATTACAACAGATTTGCGTATTAGCTTATATATTCTAATATATCTTTGAATTGAAAATAAATTAACTTTTATCATATGTGCGGCTCTCATTTTATTTTTCACTTATTTGATAAATTTGGAAGTGCTAAGATTTAGGATTGGTGTTGTACAATTATTGCGATACACTACAATTTTTTTATTATTTTTTCTGTATCATTGTCTCTAAATAAACAATAAATTAACAACTTTTAGCTGAGTTATGAAAACCGTGTAAACTAGTGTTATTAATAGAGCTAGGAATATATGCAAAACGCCATATTTTGCATATGTTGCATATACAGTGTGGAAACCACTTATGGAATAAAATTCTTTATGTCATTATTTTAGAAAATTATAAAAAATGCCGAGACATGTCAACTTTTGAATTGAGTTGTGCGTTATGTAAACATAAATTTAAATGTACAGGGTGATTCACGCAAGTATGCCATAGTCGGTGTTGTTTTTTTTTAATGAAACACCCTGTATATTTGCATACATACATTATTCAGTTTGTTGGAATCGGTTCATTAAGAGGATTTCAAAAATATGTAAATATACAGGGTGTTTCATTAAAAAAAAACAACACTGACTATGGCATACTTGCGTGAATCACCCTGTACATTTAAATTTATGTTTACATAACGCACAACTCAATTCAAAAGTTGACGTGTCTCGGCATTTTTTACAATTTTCTAAAATAATGACATAAAGAATTTTATTTCATAAGTGGTTTCCACACTGTATATACAATTTTTGATTTTGAATGCATATATTGACATTTTGTTAATTTTTTTGGCATATATCTGACGTACTAATTGGCTGGACATATTAGAATTATAAGTTATGGACCAAAATAATATTTTTTGAAATGCCTTTACAGGTCGATTTCCTAAAATTTTGAAGGATTAACTTTTCCCTGTAATAAATTACAGTTAATGGTGTAGGTACTTGAGAGGATTAAATTATAAACACCCTCCTTAAACCAACAAAATTTTGCTAAATATCCTTTCAGGTAGTTATATTAATATCTTCAAATTTCTAAATGACTCAGTTTACTTTCAACTTCATTCCAGTCTTTATTGTTGTGTTGTATTAACCAGTGGGAAAAATGGCAAAATTAATTTAGTCGTGGGTAAAATCTTATTCAGATTTTGTTGTAGAAGGTGATCACCAGGTGTTTTGTAAAACATGTTCTAAAATTGTGAGTAATTTTTTATTTTATATTTCATTTTGACCTTTCACAATGGTAAATCAAACGACAGTAAAATATTATTTCAACTCACAGTTAAAAAAAAGTAGGGCAACTTTACAACGTACGCATTTATTTAATTTAATTAAAACTTCAACATCTACAGGAATTTATTTGGTTTAGATTCCATGTGAAAAAAAGTTTCAAATCGACCAACACGCGAAAACACCCTCACATATAGCAAAGCAGAAATCTAAAGACACTCACAGACAAAGTCAACTTCCCTTGAAACAATATTTAGAATCTGGATCGTCTAGAAGTGAACAAGCTAGTTTTAATGAAGATTTATGCAAAGCTTTAGTGACTTCGAATATACCTTTAATACGATTGAATAATCCAAATCTCCGATCATTTTTGTAAAAATACTGTAAATTTAATATTCCAGAGCAAAGTATATTACGCAAACATGGTGTTAACAGTTTGTACATTGAGACTCATGAAAAAATTCTAAGAACTCAATTGTACAAAGAAAAATTTCCTGAATTACAGATGCCACCAGAACCAGTGATGGATTTACGCCTAGGCCCGTGAGGCCCGGGCCTAGGGCGGCAAAATTTAAAAAATGCCAAAATTTTAGAGGCACAAAAAAGTAAAGACAATCAATTTCAAAAATTGGTTCAGATTAGTTTTTATAAAAAATTTTCAATAGAAAATATTATAATTCAATTCATTATTTTACTTCTCAATCTGTATGGGTAACATATTAATTTTTTAATCGATCAACTATAGTCTTTATCGAGTAATACTTTTGTTCCTTTAGTGAGATTAATCTTACGTATATGAAACATTTTGAAATTATAAAATCCGAATGATTTCTCTATTTGTTTATAGTGTGAAATAAAAATACCGAAGATTTGCATGTACCTGATTAAACGCGATCTGAAGCTACGGGATTGCAGCGAAAATTGCAGCATTTAGAAACAGCAATCCTAGTCATTGTTTGGAATGTAATTTTAGATCGTTTTAATGCTGCTAGTAAGATGCTTCAAGAATCTCAAGCTGATTTATCATCCGTCGTTCAGATCTATAGTTCTCTGGCTCTATTTCTTCAAGACATAAGAGACAGACAATTTTCTGAATATGAAGAAAAAGCCAAAGCACTATCTGGAGTTCACGATTATTATCGATATGATACTCGACGCAAAAAAAACAGAAGAATTCAGCCAGACGAGTCATGGTTAAATGGAAGAACACCTTCTTCTGGACAAGAAAATTTTCGTACAAATGTTTATTATCCTATTCTAGACACTCTGAGTGTACAATTGGCCGGGTGTAAAAGTGCATATGAAAAGCTTTACGAAAATTTCAATTTTTTTGATGATTTATCTGAAATAGATACAAACGAATTGAAAAATCTTGCCAATAAACTAGTTACTAAGTATCCTGACGATTTGGAAGAGACGTTAGGCAATGAATGTATTCATTTACATTGTCAACTCAAAGATTCCTTAGCAAATATGGAAGATGTACGCTCTGCACAAAAAATATGCAATGTATTGCATTCACGGAGTCTTCGAGATGTTTATCCGAATGTGGACATTGCTCTTCGTATTTTTTTTGAGTATTCCGGATACAAATTGTTCAGGAGAAAGATCTTTTTCTAATCTAAAAAGGGTAAAAACGCGCAAGCATGGGCCAAGATAGACTTAATGCACTTGCATTACTGCGTATTGAAGCTCAACTAGTCCAAGAAATTAATTACGACGACATAATTGACGTTTTTGCACGGACCAAAGTCAGGAAAAAGAAATTTTCAAATTGATTAATATTAAAAGAAATATTCATTATTTATAAGTCTAAAGTTTTGATATATATATTATATTTATCTGTCATGTTTATCAGTAGTATTTAAAAAATTATATTTCAATAAATTAAGTTACTTTAAAATAAAAATATTGGATAAAAATTAATGAAATTCATTTTATCAAAAAGGGCGGTGTATCGAACGGGGCCTAGGGTGGCAGCAAGCCTGAATTCGTCACTGACCAGAACCTGTGATTACTCGGTGGGGTACTTGGCTTAAAGCTGCCTTTTTTTACGCAGATAATTATGAAAAAATTAAAGAAATCATATTTACCTTTGGTGACTTCCGTAAATTTAATTAAGACGTTTGAATCAGAATGTAAAAATGTCCAGGGCGATATTGGAAAGACGATTTTTCATAAATTTTAAAATGTAATTTTAAAAAATGAAGGATTTTGTAATGTATTTAGGTTCCGGTTGAATAACAACACTTATTCGTTTGTTACTATTTATTCGAACAGGACGTACATTTTAAATCCCGGTTCAACGGCAGGACAAAACCGTTACCCTACGAACAATGTATAAGATGGACTGCGCGCGCTACCACTTGGTGTCGCAGGATTGGAACTGTGACGTATAATCAGTGATACCAACTTTGTTGGATTGTTAAGCCCTGGTTATACTACAGATTTATTGTTTTAAGAAACCTTGCTAATAGGGACCGTGCGTGAAATATAGAGGCAGCACTACTGCCGAAGTTAGCCCTCTCTAGTGTTTAATTTTAGAATTAAATGGGGTAAACATTGCAAGTAAATAATAAAGGATATTTTTTAAAATATTAAATATAGTTAAATATAGATACCGGTCCGTACCAAACAATCGAGTACATGGTCAAAATGATATAAAATGTAAAACATTATTAAAATCTGGACATGCATATACATTTTAAGCAAAAACATTTAAATGACAAAGTGACAATAAATTGTAAAGTTGTACCTCAAACAAGTGTATCCAATGTCAAAATATCGGTATTTAGTAACACTGAATTTAAAAGTATTACAATAACATTTAAAAAATGTAAATTAATAAAAAAGATTGGGAATAATAATAATTCTTTTTAGCTTTATGTTAGACGAAATGTCATTCATCCACTGACGTTTATGAGACGCCCAGTGATATACATATTATAGATTGCTCACCCATCTATAAAAAATTACGAAAAGCGGGTTGCAATGTACCTTTCCTAGTGCTCACTAAATAGAGCCGTTCTAGCCCAAATGTGTTTTAATATAAAATTTCAGCATTTTAATCTTTAAAAAAAGAAAATAATTAAAGTTTTATTTCAAGACACGTTATTATGTATTTGGACAGTTGAGTTTCCATGTAGTTAAATAATATTAAGAGATCTAAACAATTTTTAAAACAGATAGATATAAATAACTTTAGACTACTCTCATTTCAGAAATAACACTACATATAATACATAATTGCAATATGTAATACAATTTCGAAAAGAAAATGTAAACAACTTTGATATGAGATATAAACAACTTTGGTAAGAGTTGTAATTGGATTATTCTGAATAATTTTTAATGGTAATGTCACTAAAAAAATTTACAAAAATCACTGGGTTTTTAATATTTTGAAGTTTGTTGCAATCTCTTCTGACAGCACTTGCAATGTATTATTTATGATTTGTTTATTTTAGTAATAAATGAGAAATAGTTAATAAATTCTAAAGAAGGCTATGATATTTTTGTCAAATTGGACATACTTATTTCATAGTAACGTTCTACATTAGTTTTAATCAACAGAATAAACCATTAATTATCTGCAAAATTATATTTATATAAAATGTTCATTTAAATATGTAAAAATCTTAATGACAAGAAAACACTGAAGATTCTAATTTCTAAACCGGTTCTGTAGATGATTTCTTTACAACTAAGTGCTCAAAATTGATACAAGCTAGATAAAAAAAACTTTGCCCAGTGAAATACGTTTTTCGTTGTCTGATTTACATATGGATAAGCAATCTATATAATTATGTATATCATTGGATGTGAGACACTAATTCTGCTCTGTGGAAATTCATAAAATTTCTTTACTATCGAATGAAATCCAGGTTTCCAAAGTAATGTGTTCGTACATCCACGGATGCAACAAGTTTTTTCGATAATGATATTACGTAAATAATTCGACTTTATTTAATTAATAATTATTAAACAATAAATGCCGTATAAAATATTAATAAATATCCCCCATAAAGTTCAAATTTTTGTCACCAGTTAGCGTTAAAGTCATGATGCACGGTCCCTATATTTATTCTGGTAACTTTGAAGATATTAATACTATTCATCCAGATATTTCAGGAAAATTTAAGTTTGCACCTATTACTTCTGTAGATGCCGAAAGGAGTTTTTCTTTGTACAAGTACATACTTACTGATAGGAGACAATCATTTAATACAGATAATTTAGAAAAACATCTAATTGTTCATTCGTTTTATAATAATGTTGATTTGTAAATAAAATTAGTTAATAATTAAATAATTATTAAGTATTATATTAGGTAAAATAAAACAAATAATAAATATTAATAAACTATTTCGATCAAATAACAAATTACTCTTATGGCATATCGTCGGCTTAATATGAAAATTGCATAAGTCCAAAATAAACAATTTTACAGGAGAGACAAAAAACGAATTTACGGCTTATTTAAAATTTATAGTTAAATAAAAATTACATTGTTATGAAAATTGCACAACTCCATTCAAAATTTAAACATGGTTTACAGATCAATATTTGTTGAAGTATAATCGATTTAATATAACTTTGAGTCACTTGTACTTATTATTACAAGCTTTATATAGTGTTTTTGGTAAAATCTAGTGACAATTTTCGTAAACTAAGAATATATTTCTGTAGCTTTAGCAGCGGTGAACCAGATTCAGCCAAAATCGCAAAATCAAACAAATTTGGACTTTTGCACTTTTCATATTAAGCCGACGATATGCTCTGCATATTTTTCAATTTTTTACGCATATATTGAAGTATTTTGCGGCATATATATGCGCATATTTAACTACTTTTTGGGTGCATATATTCCTAGGTCTAGTTATTAATAATTTATTATGTTAAAATAATATTTACCTGTGTGTATGGGATATTTTCCAGTGAGGAAAGCTGCTCTTGATGGGGTACATAGTGCTTGAGTGTAATGCGAGTTTAAAATTACTCCATTGTAGGCTAGAGCATCTATGTTGGGTGTTGGAATTTCATCGCTGCCATGGAATCCTGCATCATTGAAACCCTAACAAAAATAATTGGTTTTAACAGAATAACGTGATGAACTGGTACAAAGAAAGCAGAATGGAGAAAATGAATTATTTATTAAGTATGTCAATGGTACTTAGTGAAATCAAAAAACTAAATTTAAAATTGTGTCATATTAATATCCAATCAATAAGGAAACATTTTTTAAGTTTGAAGAAATATATTTTAGATAATGACATTGATTTTGCAGGAATTTCTGAAACATTTCTTCTTTCCAGATAAATACGTATTTAAGTCTCGATAAATATAATTTCATTAGACAAGATCGTCCAACGTTCGAGGGAGGAGTATCCATTTATAAATTTAAAAAGATCCAGTGTGACGTCATTAATGGTGATATTGAGCAAAAGTGGTTTGTGCTGAATATTTCTAATTTCAAAGTGGCTATTGGTGTAGTGTATTTACGGTAATTTACAGAGCGATTTGGAGTACGTGTTGCCTTTATAAAATGTAGACTACTACTACTATTGTCTATGCTTTCTAATTTTGACATGATACAAATTATCACCGAGCCCACAAGAATCACCCTTAATTGTGACTCTTTACTAGATGTAATTTGTTTGAGTGATAATCTGAATCTACATTGTTTTGGAAATGATTTGCTAAGTGACTCTGCAGTGGAATTCTCATGTTTCGTACTCGAGACGTGTTGTAACGAGAAAGATTTTGCGATTCCTATCTCGGATATCGAGAAGGGATATATATCGATCTTAAATGTCAGTGTCACTCGCTTCATCTTTAGGTGCCGAGAATCGATTTTTAACCTGAAATGAAATCTTGTAATTTTGTGTCAATAATATCAATAGATAATTATTTAATTTTCGTTTTTATAAAATAATATGAGGAGTATGAAAAACTGTTTCCTCCCAAGATGTGATAATGATTTACATTTATTATTAAATATATTTATTAGTGTTGCCAAAAATATGAAAAGAAGGAAGTTATTAATTATTATTATTAGGTACACAGAAAAGCTTCAAGCAACAGCTAAATTATTTTAAGGTTTGTATAGTATCTATACTCTTTATTAAAATGAAAATGTTTTATTGTAATTTAGTAGACTTCAATTATCTACCATTGTAGTAACGATGTTTTTTCTTTTTTTTTTAGATACCCGATGATTTTGAAAACTGTTCATTTTTTAAATGATGGATAAACCTTTACATATAAATGGGTAGTACCACACAAATGTCTGCAAAGTTCTTGTTATTCACCACACATCACTGATTCTACCAAAAACAGAAAAAATGTTTCTAAAAAGTTGACTGGAAAATAACCTACTAGAGGCGTTTTTATCTCTATTTAATAAAAATACATCGGATCTTCAAGATGCAATAGTAATTTGTGACATTGCCCCCTTCAGTAAATTTAAAATGGGCCTACTATAAGTTCGAAGGTGTATAACCTAAAACCCTCCTTCGGAACATCCTGAAAGTTTTAAAGATAGTAAAGTTTTGTCTGAATCAGAAGAAACATCTTTAATATTTGATTCAGAGGGATTTAATAATAATGAGCAGGTTATTCAAGACCATTGAACTCTCAAAATAAATGAAAATAAACTGAAGGTATATTTAGGATTGCCCAACAGTGTTTCTAAAATCCTCAATCATATTTATGAGAAGGAAAGTATAACTTACATAAACCTTTTACATTTCTGTTTAAATTAAAAGAACTCATTTTGTTAGACTAAATACTTAATAATTTAATAAACTTTTTTTTTTAATGAATTTATCACATTATTTCAGGGATTATAATAAATGTATACAAACAAAAATGTAAAATCTATGAAAATTTTATTTATTAACCTATTATTAAACAATAAATGTACCTGAATAAGATAAACAAAGTAACAAACACTTTATTTACAAATAATAAAAAATATATACAAGCCCTAACAATAATGTAGTTGAACAAATTAAATGTTTCTCTAAAAATTCATTATCAAATTCAACTTGTTATCTACCTCAGCATTATTTACTTCAAATGTGGGAGAAACAGTGCAAAATACTTTATGTTCATGTGTAATTATTCCGTTTACTGTGCAACCAGCCAGCCTTGCAGCCTAACAGATAGAACATAATGCTTATGTAAGTAAATAATTTTAAGTAGTTATATTTAGTTTTTGTGTAGTCAGTAAAGACTATGTGATTGCAGAAGCAATATTAGTTGTTTTTATTTGTTAAATAAATCACAGTTATTTGTTTTACGCTTGTTTCAATTTTCTTTGGTTTATGAAAACTTACGATCATTCAAAGGCGGGGGTATTGGCTTAATCCAATCTCTGAGAGAGAGAGAGAGAGAGAGAAAACTGCCAAAGGGAATAGTTCCTGTAGGGCAAACCCTTTCCCCGTCCTCTGAATCATCGTCAGGAAGTTAGGGTTCCTTCTGAACTTAATCCCCTAGCCGTGTGTTGTCTAGAGGCAATTTAAATACAAATTGGGCCCCTCTATATAACCCGTGGTTACCGCTAAGAGTGGACTTAAGGGTCAGTCAAAAGGCCTATAATCTCACTCTTAACAATATCTCACATGTGAACATGGCCCATTTTTGTGATCAGTTTCTTGTTCAGCAAATTTACAAAAAAGCAGTGATCAGCAGAGGTATGAGATCTCTATATTACCAGCATGATAACCAGACAGTTTTTAAAAATATAACATTAAGTAATGTTTTTAAAATTTTGGTTACTCTGGTAGGTTTAGATATATTATAAATCAAGTTTCCAAAAGTGATGGTTAATGTAAATTTTACACTATTTTAATTTTTAAACTCTAATAAATCAACACATGGTAAAACTTTACTTTTTACTATTTTCACTTGTACACTAACTACTGTCAACACTTTTTATTAACTGCAAAATATTAATTTGCATCTTCTATGTCTTGTTCAGGAGGAGTTACTAGTTTATCTTGAAACAAATCACTTTCATTAACTAACCCTTATTGTGTGTTCTAATTATTACATTCAAACTGATTGGGAATTTTTTTAATTTTGAGTTATTTTTATTAGTCTTTGTTAGATTTTGAAGTAGATGGAACAGTCATAAGAATGTTCCTTAACAATTGGCAGTTTTAAAGGAGAGTTTCTTTTTGAGATGTGGCAGCTGCAACATAAAAAAATTAAATAAACATTAAATGAAAAATATACCTAGGTATTACCTTTATAAGTACCTATAAATCTTTAAAATGCTGAGAACAAACTTTCCTTTCATAAATTTTACTTCCCTATTTTCAAGTTTTGAAGCATACTCTTCTTGCATCCACAAGTTCAGATTTTCCACTTTTATATTACAAAATTACCTTACATCTACCGGTTTTAGGAAACCGATGAAATGTAACAGAATGCCATTTTTTTCATGAAATAATTATACAAGGATTGCATTGAGGCCACGGTATTGAGGCACACAAGTGTCTTCCACTCATTTTACTGTATTTTAAAATAACAATATGTATTTTACTAAACGTCTAATTTAATAGAGACAACAAAAATTTTATACGTTAGCTTAATATTATTAAATAAAATATTTCAAACGAAACATTTTCTAACCAAAAACACCATTTAATGACATAACAACACATAACAACAACCAAGAAACATAAAACGCCAACGTCTAAATCGATACCCAACTCCATAAGATTCGATTATTTTCTAGCGAATAGTGAGCTTCTCGGGATATCCCGAGTACGAAAGATGAGAATCCCACTGCTGATCACATGTTGACTTTCTGTAAGATTACTTTTCAAAATACGAGCTATTCTCCAGAATATATTACGTGTAGAAATGTCAAATTATTTGATGTATACGCTTTTTCTAATGATGTCTTAAATATTGATTGGAAATATATTAATCAACACTATGATCTAAAATGGTGATCCAATTTGAATTTCCGAACTTTAAATTGAAATAAAACTCAAAAATTTGAAAAATATGTATATTAACTTTAGCAATATAAAATGTAAAGTATTTCATAAGGTATGAAAAATAGTATCATTTAAATGGCCATCCTGCAACAGTCGATCCTTTTAAGGTAATTTTCGATGACTTTTTTAAGTATTTCGGGCGGTATGTCGGCAATAACTTGGCGGATATTGTTTTTTAGATGATCTAATATTTCGGGTTAATTGGCATAAACACGACTTTTAAGATAACCCCCAGAAAAAAATGTTAAGCACCTCAGTGGTGGTGAGTTCAGAGCATTTGTCTTTTTTCTTGTTTATTCTATTTTATAAACTAGTAAAAATTTAAATTAGTTATTTTATCCTAATAACCTAACATAATTTTTGATAATATTTGTAGATTTTTGTTATTGAATCGTAAAAAAAATATGCTGTACAACTCGAGTGGATTGTCCATATCACACTCGACGATTGAGGAACACTCCGCTAACGGCGTCGTGCTCAAATTTCGTCTTCGTGCGATAAGGCCATCACCACTCTTGTTGCACAAACTACTATTACTCATTTCTAGTATATAAGGATGAATTAAAAAAATCTAAATCTTTACATATACAGAGAGAATAGTTTTATTAGCTGAATTGAAAAATGAACTATGCCAATTAAAAAATAAGTTATATAATAACGAACAATAAAATATTTAATTCCCGGAATTAAATCATATTAGGAATTTCCATTATTATCTATTGTCCTGTAATATTTCAATAATAGGTAAACAGGTAACAGACGAGAGCTCAAATAAGGGATTAAAAAGAGATAGACACGAATTCGTTGAAGCCGACTAAAATAGTTTATGCGGGTTAATCCAACACAAATTCAATGTTTTATATGACAAATTGTATACCACCCGATATGGGAAACATATATATCAATTAAGTAAGGAAGGTTTGTGAGAGGTATATTTTATGGTACTGCTTAGAGTTTTTGAATTTTATGTATGTAGATATATTATATAAAACTATTTGAGTCCATTGTCTGTTTTATGCATGGAATTTTAATAGTTTCTTGTACCTATTAAATATTTTATCAGTTTTCCCGTTTTATTTAAGCATGGTATTATTGATTCCACGAAAGTTATGAAAATTATGAAAATAAAAATTGACCTCTATGAGGCTTCTAATTATCCTCGGGTTCAATCAAGAAAACCTAGGTTTATTTAACAAGTTTAATCGTAGAAAGCATGTAACAAAAATGAAAAGCAATAATAATTTTTAACCCAACCGAAAAAGTTCCTCGACAGACAGCCACTTGACAACGACAGCCCGCGCTCTTCTCGTAGAGACGCTCGGTGACGACGTGGCCTCGTCCGTAGAGACACTTGGTGACTTGTTGGTTATCCAGCCACCAGTCCGAAAGGGAACTGGGGTTTTAGTGCGTTATACCTCTCATTTTCATATGTAATATGCATTTGCATTTAATTTGATTTATATAAGTTGGTGCATTCCAAAGTTTGTGTTCTTTACGCGCTTGGTTAGAATTTTTGATTTTTGCTAAGAAAGTTAAACGGTTTTATTTATATTTTAGCATACTTTAAACTTTTTATGACATGATAGGTAATTTACAAACTAGAAATAAAATTTTCAAATTTCTTCCTAAAACGATACTAATGCCGGGCCTCCTTATGCAAATTTGTTAACGGTCAGAGGCCTGAAAGCAGAAGTAGAAAACAATTCGTCGATGGTTAGAAATTTTTAAGTTCCTCTGGTCACTGTCGGGGACCGCCACGTCCCGGGACACCTATTTTGCGGAAAGTTATACCCATCTTTTTCTTGCGCGAAATGCGATTCCTTGTGTGTCAGACGCAAACCTTAAGATCAATACTGAATACACATTATGGGAGATATAATATCTAAATACAGTTAGTCCCTCTAGTTCCATCCATACGAAACCATCACCTCTTTCTTTTCCTATTATATTTAGTAGTTGTTTGTTTCTAATTATTACTGCTACATCTATTGTATTATCTGTATCTCATTTCCCTCGGATGGCGTTCTTTGCTGCCATAAATACTGTCGGTTTTTCATCTTTGTAATTTTTTAGATATGATCCATTGCTTCCCTTTCTCTGTCTAGGTTGCCTTGTAGAATTTGTATCGCGATCTCTGCAACCTACCCCTGTTGCATCCTTCTGCTCTCTGGACATTTGGTTGTCTCCGTTTTAACAAATTCGTTCAAAAATCACTAGGAATCCTCGACCTTAAATATTAAATTTATTTTAACCCGCTTATGATTTTATATTTTGCATAAAATAAAAATTCCAGTATGATGGTGGAATTTTATCAAATTAATTATGGCTGACATATCCGGTCGAATTCAGTTTTATTCATTGTGTTTATAGGGTCGGTTCTTATAAATAACTGTCCGTTTTTCACGAATATTAGCTCAAGTATTTTTAATTGTTCCCTATTTTCTTCATAAAAAGAATTTTGAATCGATAGAATCGGAATTATTCTTTGTCTAAGTTCGCAAAGTTTTAAAACCGATTATAGATGGATACTGTATATTTTTTCTAGCGTATAAAAAAAACCATATAATAAATAATTCATAAAATTGTGTACTACTTCTAGGAATGAATAGTTTGTTTTCTCATTATCAATAATTATAGTAAGTTCTTATAACTTTTACACTTTATTAGCAAACTCAAAATAATGTTTCTCTCGTTACATATCTCTTGAATTATATTATATTGTTTGCGATTTACAAACTATGAATTTGTTAAAACTGTTTAGAGCTTATTATTATCATTCTATACAAAATAGGTAAAATTTTATTAAAAACAACATACAGGGTCTAACAACTTTTTCACTCATCATGTATGTAAGCAATATTCTTGAAAAATATCTGTGATGATAGTAATATGTTAAGGTGCACGCATTTTAAAAAAAATAGCCAATTTGCAACAACAGAAACCATTTATAGGATTGACACTATTATTCAAGAAGTTGACAACTACAACATATCAAACATTCACGATCTGCAAGTGCGTTAATTGGGTCGAAATAAAGAAATATTATAATCGGCAAAAATTTAATATATATAAATTCGACAATGGTTATTGTTACGGAATCGTTCTCACTTTGCTGTATCGAGAGGTATCTGTACTAAAAATACCTTTTAGTTTTGGAGAAATCGTCGTTACGTGCCACTCACGGGGAATGTTTTGGTTATTCCCTTTTGTGTATAATTATATTTTATATTTTGTGTAAGTTGTGTTGTTTTAATTGTATATTTATTTCATAAAGAAAGGTAGTTCGGTAGAATAAATATTTCTTTCGACTCATAGATTGTCCAAGTTACACACCCTCACAAAAATGCGAATCAAGGTATAGATAGGTATTTAATTTCTAAACGATTATCACACCTAACTTACCATATCATCTGCCATAATAACGATAATATTCGGCTTCTGGGTATCCGTTAAACCAACGCGGAAAAGTAATAGTAACACGCACCACGCCAACACCATTTTTTCGCACTTCCTCGCCGCAACCTATTTTTTACTTAAGAGGTGACCGCTAGTATCTAGTATATATTGGTGTACATCGCTTTTCCGAAGGAGCAATGACGTAAATGAAAATTCCCAAATTTAAATAAATTAATACGAAATTTACAACTGAGGCGTTATGAAACGGTTTGAAAATAATCGATGGGGAGTTCGAGGAAGCAAATTTATTCTAGTTTTAGGTAGTACTCCTTATTTTGAAATAATTGAATTTTTTTTACTTTTTTGATTGCAGGAACTGATTCTATAATATGTCTCAGTTTTACATAGATAAGGATAATATGCAAAAATTATTTTATTTATAAAATATCCAAATAAATATTAATTTTATTTAGTATCTGCAAGTCATACTATTTTTTTTTTTTAGTTATCTTTTCTTGAGATTTTCCATTTATTTTTTTTTATTTTGAAATCCAAAGGGACACTGCACGTTTATGGGTCTTTAAAAACAAGAAAACCAGGGATAGATTTGGAAGCATATACAAAAAAAAAACTTTAAACATTTCGTGAATATATATTTATATTATTATGTTATATTTCCCTGTTTATAATAGCTAAGATAATTCATGTTTCCCTGTATGTTGCTAGCTAAAAAAGGTTATGTTTCATTTTATTTTTTATTATCTTAGTGTCATGGGCGTCGTTACACAATTCTATAGGGGGGGGGCAAAATTTTGAAAAAATTTAAAATGTTTATTAGTTAAAAAACAGAGAAATTGAAAAAATAAAGAGCAATACAAATTAACAAAAGTTTTTAATAAATAAAATAACCCAACAAAAAAGACAAAAACTAAAATAAAAAAAAACAAGAAACTTAAAACACATATTTCTAAAAAACAAATAGAGATAAAAGAAAAATATGAACAAGGAGACGGTGTCATACATAATATATAAAAAAAAAATAAAATATTTATAGAAACACAAAAACAAAAAAAACTAACTCAAACACGTCAACGCTAACAGAAAACATGATTTCTTTTAGAACCTTTAACTCATGCAGAACTAGACTATGCACTTAATGGTTATGATGAAATCAAATATCCCATGATCCAACATCTCCCCAGTATTGCCAAAAACATGTTACTGGACATTTTTAAGGGTATTCTTGTAACACCAAAAATAAATCAATTTAAGGAAGTTGTTGTCATCCCAATTCTTAAACCAGGAAAAGATCCAAACCTCGCTCAATCCTATAGGCCTATATCTCTTATGTCCTGCATTCTTAAAACCTTAGAACGAATGATAAAACACCGATTAGAATGGTGGCTCTCTAGGAAAAACCATTTACCAAAGTCTCAATTTGGTTTTAGGAAAGGATACGGCACATTAGATGCACTCACCACTCTTGTCACTGATGTTCAGCATACTCTTTCCAATAACAAATATTTGCCAACACTATCTATTGATATAGAAGGTGCATATGATAGCGTCTGCTTAACAATATTAAAATATAAAATGATTAACTTATTCCACATACCTCCCCAACTTGCGGAAACAATTGTTGATTTTTATACACAAAGAAAGTTGTATATAAGAACACATAATAATAAAATTATAGGACCTAGATATAATAGTTCTGGCATTCCACAGGGTTCAGTATTGAGCCCCTTGCTGTTTAATATGTATACGGCCGATTTTCACGAAATCTGTATCAATAATCCATCTTTCAAAACAATACAGTATGCTGATGATTTTTGTATATCTAAAAAATAAGATTCTTGTTTACAATCTATGGAAAAACTATAAATACGCATTTAATTGGTTTATAAGTAAAGGTTTCCTAATGTCATCCAGTAAATCTAATGTCTGCATTTATCTCGACACAATGTCCCAAATATTGAAAAACTAAAATTAAACGGTAACTATTTCCCTTTCTGCAAATCGATTAAATATTTAGGAATGGTTCTTGATAAGAAATTGACATGGATACTACATATTGATCATATGCTAAATAGATGCAATAGGGGTTTAAATTTCTTGAAATCAATATCGAAAACCTGGTGGGGAGCGGATGTCGAAACTTCTTTGTTATTTTATCGATCGTACATAAGATCCATTTTAGATTATGGTTGTATACTTTATGGATCAGCAAGTAATCACATTTTAAGAAGAATTGATGTCTTTCAAAATACGGCACTTCACATTTGTATAGGTGCTATGAAATCAACCCTTATCGATCCACTGCATGTCGAAGCATTAGAACCTCCATTATGCTATAGAAGAGAATATCTTAGCAACAAATTTCTAATAAAAGTCCGATGTACAAACCCTACCTTGTATGCTAGTATTTGTAAATTAAATCATTTTGATTTAACCCAAAAATATTGGATACATAAACAATCTCCCCCACTTTGTGAAGCTTTTAGAAATATTAGCAATTATGAGGATCTCATCAGTATAGATCAGTGCTTAGATTTTGAGGATTTCTTTGCCTTTTTTAACAATGTTAATGTTATACAAACAATTTATCATGAAAATCATAAAATAAGTTCCAATATTTTGAACTTACAACTAGAAAACTGGCCTGATTTTACAAAGATCTACACAGATGCTTCTAAAACTTCAGCTGGTACAGGATGTGCCTTTTTCATCCCTTCTACATCTACAGAGAACGTTTTTAAGTTACCATCAAATTTTTCAATATTTAGTGCAGAAGCAATTGCTATATATGAAGCTATAAAATACTTTAAAATATCTAATAATAATACTGCAGTTATTTTAGCTGATTCCCTATCTGTATTACTTGCTATTCAAAACCCAAATCTTCCTTCCAATTCATCAAATGCTTATATTTTGCTCATTAAAAAGATACTATTCGAAATCCATAATACATCGAAAACGGTTCAATTAATATGGGTTAAAGCAGATATAGGGCTCAAACATAATGAGTACCAATGGCTTACCGACAAGTTATCAGCTGTGTAATTTGGATGCTTTTGCAATTGAGAAACAACGTCAAATGAAAAATTGGAGAAAATCTTGGAAAGACTTTTGCAAAACCACTACAACTCAATATTCAAAAATACAACCAAAAATTCCGAATGTGCATTGGTTTAAAAACTATTCACTTCCTCGAAAGTATATAGCAACTATCATTAGATTGAAATTTGGACATGCATGTTATCCAGCACATTTATTCAAAATCCATGTTATAGATTCGGAGATATGTACTATGTGTCAAGAGAAAGGCGATCTAAATCATATTTTCTTTAGTTGTGTAAACTATACCCAACAATCTCAAGATCTGATACAAGATCTAATTAAAAATAATGTATTTCCTCCATTTAACATTTGCCATCTCCTCTCACTTAATCAAACAAAAATGTACGACCTCTTGATAAAATTTGTGTATGAAAGTAAAGTATGTTTGTAATTAATATTAGTCTTACAACCTATGTTCTAACCCAATTGTTATATACCTACCTTTCCGTGGCCTAGTTTTGTGTGTAAAAAAAAAATGTCTTGACGGGCCCCTAGACAAGAAGACATGTTTTCCTTTGTTTATTCCTTGCTTGCCTTATCTTCTGTTTTATATTTTTCTTCTTTTCTTGCTTAGGACAAAAGTGTGTATGATTGAATGTATTTAGAGTGATAATGCAATTTTTTAAACTTATATAATATATTCCGCGACTGGCTGAATGGCAAGTGCCCAAGCAAAAAAAAAATAGTTTTTTGCGATTATTTTTGGATGTACATTCATCATGCAAAGCGCAGTCAGCCTATTTTCATTAATTATTCGCTCTGTGCGTGACAGCAGCGCCAACTAATTTAAAAACTAACGGACGATATTTGCGTATACTGACAATACAATTTTTAATGGAATTAAAAAATATATATGTTGATTTTAATAAAAGTATATAGATTTGTAAAACAAGTGAAAACATTAATTATTATATATTTTTATTAGGTACTTCAGCTAAAATAAAAGTAGTATAATTAATAATTAAACATAGGCAGGCTACGGTGGTGTAGGTGTCTACGGCGCGGCATTCATTTGTCAGCCAATTTTCTGGTAAAACGAGACAAGGTTTCAGATCATACGGAAGACCATGTGAATTTATTTGTATGGTTCTCTATAGGATTTGATGGATGCCATATTAGCAGAAATTTAATTTCTGTTGATATGACATCCAGATTATTAAAATAAAATCACCATGCATTACCGTTTTCGATGGTAGGTGGTGTTTTCCGGGTTTTCCTCACCTGTAAGTCAAATGTCACCATTATTCATCTTTAAGTCGTCCCGGAACGCCACGGCAAATAATAATAATAATAGCCGTCCCTTTCCCCGCACAAGCTCAGCTTTTGGAGTTAAAATTCGCTCATAAGGGGGTGAATTAGGGAGAGAATTATTATTATAAGATTATATATTTACGAGAAAATGTATATGTTGCCTAAGCCTAATAAGTTAACATTGAAGAAAAGGTTTAATAATGTGAAAACAAAAACATTACCATTATATAATAACGTAGTCTTAAAACGTATTAACAAAAATAATTGGTAAATTTGCGATTGTAATTCATATTTTCTTTATTTTTAGTTCGAAAGAACCCATAGAAATTAATGATTAAAATTGGTTTCCTATTAATAAGTCACAAGATTGCATTTCAGTCACATACAATAATCAAAGGCAGAAATCTAATCCTTGCTCAACATTTAAGAGTTAAGGGATATTGAACAACATTGTACAATAATAATTTATTATTTATTTAAAACCTTTCAATTTTCTGATGTCTACTATTTCCAGTATTACTGTTATTATTACAAAAATAAAGGTTTTTTCTTCTTATTGTACAGCTATCCATTTATTTCTTTGATTCAATTTCCATTTTGCTACTAAAAATTTATATAATTTACACTGTTTTTTCTGCTAGTATTTTTACAATTTACAACACAGCAACTGTTATTGCTTTATCGCCTTGGACAAATTTCGCTTGTGTTTGATTTTGTAGGTTTTATTGTGT